GCTCGGCACACAGACCCCATACAGACACAAAAGCAAAGCCAAAGCCAAAGAAAAAAAAACAGCAGTAAATAAATACAAAAGGCAACGGCAAAAAGGAGTCTGTTCCTGCTGCTGCTACTGCTACTGCTGCAACGTGTGGTATGTATATGTATGTGTGAGCGGATTTTCGTATGTCTTACGTATGTGTGTGTGTGCACATATACATATTCATTTGTTTGCTTGTGGTAGACACTCGTCTTCGTGCGCTTCCATCGTCTTGGCTGGCAGCTGCTTCTGGCTCCCGGCTCCCGGCTCTTGGCTCTTTGCACGCCCTTTGCTTTGTTTAATTTTCAAGCAAATTGTTTTGGGGGCGGCCTCGTTGATTAGCCCCGAGGAGCGGGAGCGGGAGCAGGAGGCGGCAGCGGTGGCGCTGGCCTAGCCCGCATATGCTTTTAATTGCCAAAAACGTGCCCAGCCACACATCAACACGGCGACAGCCTCAGTCAGCCCACCCATCCAGTGAGAGAGATGCCATGCGATGAGAGCTGCTGTGGGAGTGCGCGAGAGGGAATACGAGAGAGCTGTTGGCTGCTGGCGCCCTGCTCAGCTCATCATGATGATGATGATGACAGCGGCCACGAGGTTAATGGCTTAAAGTCTTAGCCGATTCCAGCCGCCAGTCCACAGCCCACAGGCCACAGTGCCCTCAGTCCTGCACATGAATATTTGAATGGCAGTTGACTATGAAATCCGCCTCGCCTCGCCTCGCCTCACTCTCTCCCCTCCACCCTTCACCCTCCACCCAACAAGCAAACACATTCATTCTACTCAATTTCGTTGAGTTTTATGAATAGCAAAGCATCGTTGTCGGAGCACTCAAGGATCCATAATTTCAACATCTGATGAAAGCTAAAATTTCACATTTATTGAGTTGCTTTTTAGGCTAACGAACTGAGAGTCTCAGTCCTCTAGTTTGATTCGTGGTCGGGAAGGATGCCATGAAAATGCTGCCTCTAAAATCTGATTAAGTAATTAGAAAGTTGCCAAGGCATTAAATATGCAAGTTCAAGTTAAGGACTGCATATTTAAGCGCTCATTTTTATGTGTGTGGCGGTGCGGTGGTGCGGGGGGACACCCGCACCCAGAATTATGGAGGGGTAAGGTCGGCCAGGAGCATGGGCAGGGGCAGGGGCAGGGGCAGAGAGCAACAAAAAAACTCATTAATAACTGTCGTCGTTTCGCATACAATATGAAAATATTTATGCAAGCCAAACAAAAGCCGTTTAAAAAACAGTAAGCCAAAGACCAAACAGGGCTCTGTGAGTGGGCGGAGGGAGGGGTCGGGGTATGAATTTCCCTCAAGCCCAAAGCCAAGCTGCAAGTGAAATGTAAAATGTCGAATGTGAGCGCACACACGCAAGCAACTCTTGCCATTTTAATTAATGTCAAACTCTTATCATTGAATATAAAATATGCACAAACGCACACGGAGTGCAGAGAGGGAAGGGAAGGGCAGGGACAGGGAAGGGACAGGGAAAGCCGGTGAAAGCAGCTCTCAGATATTTGCGTACATATGTGGAATTTACATACAAAACCCGAGCCTACAGCTAGCTTTTCTTTGTCAAGTTGAAACAATGCCCAGCCCCCCAGCCACCCAGCCACAGCCCTCCACGTCGTTGCCTTGACAAAGCCTTTTTTTTTTTTTTTTTTGGTTTGCCGCAAAAAGCAATCACAGCAAAGGCACAAGAAAATGCTCACCACACACACACAGACACACACACACATGGACAGAGGGAAAACGCATGCTTACCAATTAACGAGATACATATGTGCGAATGTGAGGCACAAAAAGCAGTGCTAGAAAGCGCGAGAAATTTGCGAAAGAACAAAAAAAGCCCCTTGAAAACCCGAAAGGGTAAAACCCAAAGAAAGAAAAGTCCAAGCAAAAAGTGGCATACAAATCACATGCGAAAAATTTATAAAAACAAAAACCAATACATAAGCAAACCTAACACACACACACACATACAGTACACGTATATGGGTGAAAGAAGTGACGGGAGCATGGGATAGAGAAGGACGGTACAGGAGTGGGGGGGGATGAGAGGCCGACTTGGGAGCCAAGTAGCAAGCGTTTATGCTAAACAGAGTGTAACTACCGGGGTTGCCAGTTCGGAGAGTGCACGGTGACATTTCTGCAAAAAGCCAAAAAGGATAACAACAAGGCAACACCAGAGCACACAAAAGGTGCTAACCGACACACACACACACACACACACACACAAGAGAGAGAGAGAGAGAGAGAATGGACGACCCAAAGCGAGAGACCAGACCGTGCTTTGCAGACCGTGTAGCATACTTTCAGGCTCTGTGGCCTGTGGCTCGGGCTATTTTTGGCCCGACGCTCTCTCTCTCTCGCGCGCGCTCTCTCTGTGTGTGTCTGCAAAGCCTGCCGCCACGCTCGGCTTTGGCTCCTAGCTGGCCAACAGACTGCTAGCCAACTGCCTGGCCTGCCAAACGGTTTTCAAACGCTCAGCTGAGAAAATGTGACGGACGAAAAACGGCAGGCCCAGGGAACTCGCAGAGCTGAAAAACTTACCAAGAAAACGGCAACTCAACAAAATCTATACAAAAGTGTCTGGCTCTGGCTCTGCCTCTGACTCTGACTCTGCTTCTGCCTGTGCGGTGCGGTGCTATGTGTGTATGTGTATGTGTATGTATGAGTAGGGGTCTCTGTGGATGTGGGTATGCGTGTTTGAGTGAATGTTTATGTATGCGTGTATAAATTAGTTTGAGTGTGCACATGCATGCATGCGTCTGTGTGTGTGTGTGTGTGTGTGTGAAGATGTTCTTTAGCAAAAGCGTGAAATTATCAGGAAAAACGCGACGCGCCCTAATATCTGTACAAAACAATGCAAAATGCTTAAAAATGCTTAATATAATGAAGATTTAAGAAATTGGCCAAGTGGATAGACATTGAGAACATAAACTGTTCAAATATCAGAAGTGAATGCCAAAAAAACAGTGAAAAAAATACACGAAAACTTCATGATTCGATTAAATATTATATTTAATAAGAAATTCATTAAGTTCTTGTATCAAAAAAGTGATAATCCATCAAACTGTTCTAATCCAAAAATAATCAAAATTATCCCTAAATCAGGCAACTTATATTTATGAAAATAATTTCCAAAAACCAATTAAAACACGAATATTTCAAAATTATGCAAAAAGTGATAATAATCTGGCAAACAAAAATTCATCTCAATTGATTCTCAACTCCCAAAAAATATAAATCAATATATATCGGCAAATATTCAACAAACAAACAAACAAAAAAGTAGCCCATTCAAATTCCTCAATAAAATCAAAGCAGAAATTTGTCAACAGTCGAACTGATTTTCCATATATTTTTTCCCCAATTTTTGCAGTGTTAAGGCTAAGAAAAACTAAGATAAGAGAGAGACTATAAATATCTAGCAAACATGTCCCCTAGCCCCCAGACGATAGACGCAACCGAGTTAGCAATTTAAGCAAACAATGCCAAAAGTTAAAGCGAAAGGCGACTCCACCAAAGGACACAAATAAAATGAGACAAGTCGCCTGCAACTACAACACCAACGGCAAGCATCGAGACGACGAGCAGGTTGCAGGCACTCCGCAAAGAACAACAAGAACAACCGCACGGACAACCACAACAACCACGGCAGCAATATCATCTGAACTAGTTGGAGCAACAGCAAGGATATTGAACAAGCGATGAGATGGAGCGTCCGCTTGGATGACGAACTCAGAAACCAAAAAGCTGGCACTGAAACAGAAGCAGAAGCTGACGCTGAAGCCGAGACCGCAACGGAATCAGGAAAAACTGATGCTGGAAACTGATACCAAATTAGTGGTAACCGAAAATAGCATCTAGCAAAAAGAGAAACAACAACAAAAAAAAACCAGAAGCAGGAGGACCGAAACGTAACGAAACGGAACGGAAACATGAACAGTACGGATATTTTGTAATTATTAATGAGCGCATAGAGTGTGGGCTGCCGGAGTGCCGGGGTGCTGGAGGAACCACAGGAGCGAAACAGCGCGATACGTTGAGGGATATCAGAATGTACATTCTGCAGGAGCTCGACTAACACGGCACACACACACCACACAGACATAGACACTCACCCAAGCCCAAGCCCAAGCCCAGGCCCAGGCCCAGGCCCCCAAGACCCAACCCCACAGGACATCAGGCAGGAAAGGCAACGAAAGGCTCAATTTCAAGGAATTTGCAAAGCGTTCATCCACACACACTCACTGACTCGCTCGCTCTCTCGCTCACTCAACCTGCCATCGAGTCCCAGGCGCACACACAGACACACGGATACGAGTATGGGCTGCTGGAATCTCGTCAGGATAGAAGTAATTAAAAGTAAATAAAGCAGCAGAGGCAAGAGGGAAACCGAAAAGAATCTCAAAGCGGAGGCTGCAGGAAAAGCAGGAAGTAACCTGATTACGAGCGGAGCAAAGCGGAACAGGAGGCGGCAAAGGAAAGGAAGGAGAAACAACAACAGCAATTAATGTGGCGCAGAAGAAGAGGAGTGATCCGCTCATGATTGTCCGGACTGTGCTGTGACTCGATCTCTCCCCCCCGCCCCGAAATAGCGCCAGGAACGAAGATTGAAAGAGACAGAGAGGAAGGAGGGAGCCGTCTCGCGCACACACACATACACGAAAAACACGCTCTAACCCATACACATGCACTGAAGTACTGACTGAATGCCTCGCTGCCTAAACAACCAACTAACTCACTGACTGAGAGACTTCAAGAAGCGGAAAGCCAAGACGAAGGAGCAAGTAGAGCCAGCGAATAACAAACAACAACAAACCAAAAGCAAAAGCAAAACAAAACCAAAAAAGAGGAAGAAGGGGGAACCAGGAAACAGCTAGCAAGTAACCTAAAGGAGCAACTAAAACCTTGACTAATAACTGCAACTACAGCAAACAACAAATCAAGAAACCAAAACCAAAACCAAAAACAACTACAACAACAACTTACTTTATACGCAACTAAATGAACAAAAAAAAAAACCATACTTAAATTTTTAATGCAAAACTACGAGAAGCAAGCGCCACGCCAACCATTTTAAATAAGCAAGTACTCCAGCACACCTTCTGCTCTTAATAAAAACAAAACAAAACAAAAAACAACACCCCGAATTTTCCAAACTTCCAAATATAAAACAAAAAACCAAAAATATAAAGCCAACAAAAACCACAGCACCACCATGAGTGATTCAAGAATGGACAAATTGGCCAGAATGGCGCCTCTGCCCCGCACACCACTGCTGACCATCTGGCTGGCCATCAACATGGCGCTGATCGCACAGGAAACGGGACACAAACGGATCCACACGGTGCAGGCGGCGTGAGTATTCATTTTTATTCATATAATTCATTTTATTCATTCATTCTCGTTACTAACTCATGAGTGCGAATATTTGGGTTGGGTTGGGTTGGGGTGGAGTTGAGGCATTTACTCAATTAGTGACATTTACAACTATCAATTAGGTTAATAACATCATAGTGGACCCTACTCTGCGTATAATCCGCATTAACTTATGCCCAGAAAATACGTAATGGCGTTAGCATGGTCACACAGCAAACACTCCCTCGTACACTCCATTTTGCCCCATCCATTCGTTTGCCCACTCTCTGAACAATGAAAAACTACAGTTGGCCAGTTATTATAACAATAAATTTGCTTTTGGGGCTGACACTTTGCTGCATTGGTGCCCCGTTCCGCCCCACAGCCTTGGACACGAGCGCGTCAGGGCGACAGGTGCGTGCTGGCCTGTGTGCGCTATGTCTGTATGTGTGTGTATTTTTGAGGTGTTTGCGACCCCCACAGGAGCCATAATTCATGGTAATTTATGATTATTCAAATCATTTTGCTGCAAAATGCGCTCAAAACTTTGTCGAGCGCTAATTAGGCAGTATGACAGCCTGTTTTGACCTGGGCCCTAAACAAATGTTGAACTGTAGCGACTCTCTGACAATCTGAATAAGTGCAGCCCATTTATTAGGCCAAAGTTGGTGCTGGTGCTGGGTCTGGAGCCATATCTACATCGTCATTGTCACATTTGCATGTGGCAGTCATTAAAATGGCAGCAGGGACTGAAAAATGACAACTGCCACTCGATGGTCTTGTAATTACTCACCCGTCGTGGACAGTGGACAGTGGACAGCGGACCCTGGACAGACAGATAGCGGACACTCGATTTTGAGTGTGGCCGGTCAGCGGCTATGTTTGTTTTTGGAAACAATTGTACAAGGATTCGACTAGAGCCCGCCACTGCCCAACTGATTGGCACTTGTCATTCCCACACACACACACACACAGAGACAGAGGGAGAAAGAGACACACCCTTTTTGTCATCCTAGGGGATGGCAGTGGCAGACCAGTGGCAACCGCGGACAACACATTCGGACAACGCAAAGAAATTGCCGCATTTGTGGCATTAGTTGTCAACGTCACCGTCACCGTTGCCATTGCCACAGCCGTCGCGTTCTGTCAACTTAATCACACAAATTATGCAGAGCCAGGGCTCTGGTTGCTGCTGGCTGTGGGTCTGGTTGGTCTCCGTTGCTTTTTTTCCTTTTTGGGTTAGCGCTCATTAGTAAATATTTAGGCGCCACACAGAGCCACAAACATTTGCATAACATGGCAACCTGGCAAATTAGGCAAATCAAAAGGGGGCTACGATGACTGCGACTCTGAAACGGACTCCAAATCCGACTCTGACTTCCACTGCGACAACGACAACGACAACAGCAACGACAACGACATCGTACTCAAGTACAAATGCACGTTTATGGGATTACACGATCGCGTGCCGGGACGAGGACGTACTGGACGAGGACACGTGGAGATACACGCGACGTGGCATGATGCCTGGTGCCTGGTGCCAGTACCAGTGCCAGTGCCGGGCGTATAGCGTAACAAGAAGTCCAAAATCGAAAATGTCGTGGCAAAAGTCGGCAAAAGTCGAGACCGAATCTAAGGCGCACACAGCTGTGCTGTGCTGTTTATTTGGGCCAAAAAGGCACAAGGCACAAACCGTGGCAATGGCATAAGGGAAAACGGGAAAAGCCAAAGGCAAAGCCAGAGCAAAGCAGCTTGGGCAAAGTTTACGCTACTTTTTCATGCAACATTGCACAGGCGCCGCCACAAAGTACAAGTATGCAACACAAAATGACAGCTTTGCCGAGTCAAAGTCCCAGGTCTCCCCAAGCCAAGTCCCCATCTCTATTCCCATTCCGAACCCCCCCACCACCATTCTCCGCAAAAAAGGTTAAAGGCCAGAGCGACACAGTTTTGCTCACTTTACACGCTGCCACTTCCTGTAAGGCAAAAGCTCAGGCTGCTGTGCCACGCCCGGCCACAAGCCTGCCTGCTGCCTGCCTGCTGCCTGCCACCGCCGCCTGCTGTGTGCGCCGTTGTGCTCCACTTGCCACACAAGTGCCCACTTCACTTGGAATTTATTGATAGCAGATAATGCCAAAGTGGCAGCGACAAAAGCAAAGACCACCCGGGTTCGCGTCCAACCAGGAGACTGCCTGTCGTCCTGCCCAGCCAGGGGCGGCAGCCAGGGGCCAGCCCAGATCCAGCTGCCTTACTATAATATGTGCCTGTGTGTTTGTGTGTTTGTGCGTGTGTGTGTGTGTGTGGCAGCTGCATCACTCGTAGGCAGGCAGCGTCAACAGCTCGCCATCGAGTGTCATTGAGCGTAAATTGTTGTTCCTTCACATTTTGAGTATGATTGAAAATATCTACAAACGGTCCGGGTCCAAGGAGCATCTCTTATGCTTCGCTTCTCTTCCGAGCCCTATCCTACCGGCTGGTATACTCTCAGCCTTTCGTTGTTCTGTGTGTGACACTGTGTTTTCCCAGCCGTTGCCGTTTCCATTTTGCCAATCGCCATGCCACATGCCACATGCCTCCTCCATCTGCTTTTCAAATATTTAATAAAGCCCCGGACAAGGCAGGTCTAATTTTTTTGCACATTTACCCCGCAGAACACAATTCAAGAGAGCGGGCAACTATTTTTATTGGCCCGACTGGAGGCGAAAAATATCCTTGCCCTGGGCATCGACATCACATCGCCTGCCAATTGCTGTTCATTTTGCAAAATGTCAAGGCCCCGCCAATGCAATTCAATTTTATATGCATTAACCTTGCCTCATCCTCTCATCCGCTCATCCGCTCTTTCTCTTGCTTCTCTCAATTCCCATTCGGAATCCGGATTGAGTTTAATTTAATCAAAAGGCCAAACGATCCTTAAGACAAAGCAAATTGCAAATTCTCAAAGTAATTGAATGGCCAACGACCATCAAGCCGAAGATTTTTCCTGTAAAATAAACTGCTTAAAGATCAAATCGGTGGAAGCTTCCGTGAAGCAGAAGTCCGTGCTTCCAACTTGCACTGGGCACAGTCCAACTTGGCCAACAACTAGCACATAATAGTTAATGTGTGTCCCTGTCCAGGCACAGTCTTTCCTGTGTATCTTGGGAGCTGCTAAGCAACTGTCTGCTGGTCTGCTGGAGTGCTGGTGTGCTGGTGTGTGCTGGACCCGCTGCTGGGCTCATGCCACTGGCTTATTAAGCGGATGTATTTATTTTTAGCGACTGTCAGGCGGCTGTCAGGCATCAAGTTATCACTTTATTAAAAAACGCTTACTCACACTCGCCCCCAAGCAAGAAGGACGGGAGGCTGGTCCGGGGGCGAAGCCAGGAGGCAGGACAAGATGAGTACATCTTGCACACCCACTGGCACTGTGTAGAGTGTTTTACTGCGCAGTGGAAAGGCCTAAACCAACTTTTGCTTATCTCTGCGTTGGCGTTGCCAAGACTCTTGCCCTGACATGGACATGGGGAAGCGGATAGCGGGAAGCGGGAAGCGGAGATGGGAGACAGCAGGAGGCAGGCTGCCAGGCAGTCAGGCAGGCAGGCAGGCATTCAGGGCAGTCAGCCAGCGGAGATGAAGACAAAGAAAACGCTAAAAGAAAGATAATATTTGCTAGTAGTTCTCTCGCATTTCCGCTTTGTTTTAACGTTTCACTTGAATTTATGCAATGGCGCGTGTCCAACGCAGCGTATACGTAATGGCTGGCACTCAAAGTGCCACTAAAAACGACAACAAAGCGACAGTGGCAACGACAACAAACAATAACGACAATATTTCTTACAGTTTTACTCTCGCAACACACACACACACACACACATACACTGACCACCAGCCACACCCACTCACACACACACACGAAGAGCCGTAAACGTGCAGTGCCTCAAGATAAGGCAACAAACTGTGGGCAGCGATAAGATGGCGTGGCACTTGAGGCGACACGTTTTGGGCTTGGCTGTCGTGCGCATGACTTTGCATTTTAGGTTTTTTGTTACAGTTACAGTTACGGTTATTCTTCTGTTTCTGTTTCTGCTTTTGTTTCTGCTTCCTCTTCTTCTGGTCGTTCTTGTTCTTCTGCCAGTTGTTGCTGTTGGCCAGCGAGTAGCAACGAAAAAAGAACTCGTACCTACTTACGTGCGCGCAGCTAATTGCATGTTGCACAAATGTATACTTAGTGATAGTGCATGTGTGTGCCCCCGAGTGGCACTCCTGCAGATTCTGCTGCAGCGGATTGGCAGTGGTGGGGGGAAACTCTTCGCTGTAGTTTTGTGCTTCCTCGATCAATAGGCAAATATTTAACGCCTTAAGTACGACCTATTGACATTCTGTAGTGCACTTAACGACAAGCACACACACACACACACACACAGAGCAAACTCTCTCTCCCGCATGAGTGTGCGTCTGCATAAATTATTTGACAATACGTTGGGCATAATATTAGTTTCACTTAACCAAGGCAGGGCAAGGCACTGGCAAGGCAAGGCAAGGCAGTGGCACATTTGCATATTACGTATACGCCACGTTCCGCCTGGGGAACGACGGCAGTGGCAGCAGCAGCAGCAGCGGCAATCGAAAAGTTTTTGGCGCGTCCTTCAAGCAATTTTTATTGCAAGCTGTCAAAAACTTATTGACAGCACCTGCCAGCAAAAGTAGCGGCAGTGCATAAATTAAACTTTAATGGTTAGTGGAGGGTGGTGGGTGGTGGGTGGAGGGTGGAGGGTTGGCTAGAGCGTAACAGCAAAAATGAACAGCAGCAGACATTGCGCATACGCAGCATGGTACTGAGAATAGATTACTTCCCACACACATAATCTAAAACTCAAATCAAATAGCAATCAAAACTTTTTCATTATCAACATCGGGCCAAGAGGCCCGAAAAGTAAAACCGCATATCAACTGTTGTCAGGCCGTGCGCCCCAGCAACAATAGGCAACAGAGGCAAGGGCGAGGGTCTGGGGTGAGGGAAGAGGCACTTCCTACTCTGCGAGTATTTTTATATACATTTATAAATAGGCTGCCATTTTTGCCGTCGGCTTTCGCTTTGATGCCCACGCTGCGTATACACAATGGCCCGCAATCGGCTTGGGTTAAAGCTCAAGCGAAGCAAGAGCGCAAAACAAAAACACCCACACAGAGAGAGAGAGAGAGAGAATGATGGGTGGATGGGTGAGCACTCTCTCCCAAAAAGGGAAATGGCAAGCCCAGACTTGATAACAAATACAAATAGCATAATGCAAAATTAAAATCGCATCAAATCAACAAATCAGCCATAACAATCGAGTTGCCAATGCTGCAAATTGTGCAAAATACATAAATACCCCAATACAAAATGTGCCTAGATATATTTCCGATACAAATGAAAGCAGAAACAAGCAGCCACACACAATCCCGCAGAAGAGACACACCAGGGGCTCGATGTTCGTGGCTCTGAGGTTTCAAAGTTCCGAGGCTCCGAGGTTCCGTGGATGCGCACGCGCGATCCAAGAGACAAAGTTCGGTCGCAGCTCATTTGTGGGGAGTGTGTTTATTTGCAGGCGCAACTTTTATTAAATTGTGATTTTGCTCACAAGCCACACGCATCCACACACCATACACATACACATATATGTATGTATGTAGTATGTAGTATCAGGTCTGGGACTTGGGACTTGGGTCGAGCAGCTGGGGCCTCGTCTGTGTGTGTGTGTGTGTGTGGCCCGAGTACACCCAAACCCAATGGCCTGGCTCGGCGGCCAGAGTTGAACTAACAACAAACGCGCTTTAATAGCACAGTTTAGCGTAGAATAGACGCAAATAAACAGGCATTGAAGTGCCTCGGCCTGGTGACTGGTGCCTGGTGACTTGTGCCTGGGATTTGGCCTGTGCCTGTGCCTGGGTCTATACGTTACATACATATGCATATGTGTGTGTGTATGTTGCCTGCCTTCATTGCCAGGCACATGCAATAAATATTACATACACCCATACACCTATACATACATATATATTCGTGTGTGGGCGCACTTGATGCCGCATAAAGCGAAAGTAGCACACACCCACACAAGCAGAAGCGCACACACAGATACTACACCAGTGATAGTAGAGAAGAGAAGAGGAGGCCGTGGCAAAAGCAGCGCACTTAACCTGCAACGACCGCCGAGCGCAATGTCTGTGTTGACGCTTCTGCTGTCAGTTCATTTTCCAGGAAACGCTAAAAGTCCTTGCCACAAACACACACACACACACACACAGTCAGGAGTGCACACTGCCAGTACATCGGCAACAAATACGCCAAACAAATAGTTCAAAACATAAATGCAAACGTTATGGATTCATATTCCTTCCAGGGACCCCTGTGCCTTCCCCTGCCACTGCCCCATGCCACTGCTTGACAAATGGCTCTCATTGTTTAGTGTTGAATCAGCTCGAACTAATGAAATAATGAAATCAAATGTGTCTCTCTTTTTGCATTCTCTTTACAGAACTGGCGGTGGCAGCATGCTGGGTGACGTAAACATATCCGCTATACTCGACTCCTTTAGTGTTAGCTACGACAAAAGAGTAAGACCCAATTATGGTGGTAAGTAGACCAAATCAAACCAATCTAGCCAATCTAGTCACCCATACGATAGAACCAGCAAAACCCGAAACAAAAAACGATAAACCGAAACGCGACTTGAACGAACATGCTAATTGGGGGCACAGCCCAAAATTTGTAGGCAGCGTAAACCGAACACCAGACCCGTACCCGTACCCGTACTCGTACTCTCACTCGTAACATGCATCTAACTATTTCTATAAACCGTACCTAGATATGTAAACCCAGTCATGCTCTTTACTGTATTCACCTACTAAAACATACGTGTTTGCAGGACCTCCTGTCGAAGTCGGAGTCACCATGTATGTGCTATCGATCAGCTCGCTCTCAGAAGTGAAAATGGTACAAACTAAATGAACCTTGTACCTTTCTATTATCGTTAAGCGCTCTCTCTCTCTATCTATTTCTCTCGCATACTCTCTATCTGTCTCTGTATCTGTCTATGAACCTTTCCTATCTGTACTCTAAATCTAACTCTGTCTTTGGTCTTTGTTGTTGGAGTTTTCTTTGAAGTTTTTCCCTCTTTTCGTTTCGACACAGTGCATTAGTTTGACACCCAACTCCCACACACAAATACCCAATTTTGATTTTTATGGTACTATTTCAACTGTTTTGCTTTGAAATCTCTCTCTTCACACACACACACATGAAATATATATACATACATTCAGATATATAGCCTAAAACGATCTATTGTTTTTCAAACTGTTGACCAAAGTACACCAGTTGAAAATGTTATTTACGATTTCTTATCACATACCCGTTTGTATTTCTATTCCTTTATATTTATTTCCTTTCTTTCTTACCTGTTCTGTTCTTTTATAGTACTAAATCTCTCTAACTCTTCCAAATATTTTGTTCTGGCCTGTCGGTTTCGTTTTATAGCCGCTGTGTTTTAGTGAGTTTTTTCCAACAATTTCAAGCTCAAAACTTGAATGAATACTTTGGCCCCAGCTCTGTGCTATCGTTGGTTTTCGGTTTGTGACCAGCAGCATTTAACGGCACTCCAAAGCAAAGGGCAAGGCGTCATTTGTCCTGATTCTCTCACACCCAAAGGCAGCCCCCGTTCAGCATCGCCAACGCATTGTAAACTAAATGTTGACTCTCTCTCTCTCTCTCTCTCCCTATCCGATTGGCAAAAGCTTTTTATGTTCAACTTCTTCAACTCTCAGCCAAAGGACTTTTGTTCCTTCTGCTCTCACCTCGTTACTTTTACCTCTCTGTGTGTGTTTGTGTATGTCTAATTGGCCGAGCACATCAAAATTACCCACACACACACACACACACACACTCAAACGAACAACAGCCGCTGCAACAGAAACAACATCAAGCCATCAACAATCCCCCGCTCCTTACCACACCCCAATTCAGTGTACATAACGAAACGAAGACTACAACCCACAGCAGATCTTCTCCGCTCACTCACTTCATGCATATTGTTTTGTCTTTCTTTTTATAGGCCCACACACATAACTCATACAAACAGAGCCGCCAGATCAATATCATTCTAAGTATAAGTGCTGCTAAATCGCAATTCCCATGACAAACAAAACAAACTACAAATCTATATAAGCAAAGCAATCCAAACAAAATATAAAAATGGTGTGTTAAACCGCTCTAAAAATATGAGTAAATATTTTCAATACATTTTAGTTTTGGCAATATTTTATTTCCTTTGCTAGGCGCATTTGTTTTATTTTTTACCAGCAAGCCTGAGCAACTTTAAAAAATACATAAAAGATGCAATCAATCTAGCAAACACAGCAATCAGAATAGTTAACTGATTTGGTTTTCATTCGGCGCGTTCGGCAATACCATAAAACAAGGCAAATATAAGAGCACAAATTTAGTTAGTAACTGCAAAAACATAGCGCACCGCTTGGCAAACTAAATGTCAACTGTACTTTAAATATATTTCATTTTGCTAATGGAAATTAAACGGCACCCAGCGAGATTGAAATAAGTGAAACCGCCCCACCCGAATTTTCCATTCTCTAGCAGCGAGCGCTCGAACGTAGGCAACGTATAATGGCAGCACACAGTGCGCGCCAACAGTGTGCGTACTCTGAGTCTACTCAGATATATGTGTATGCATATCTTTTTTTTTTTTGGGCTTATTGAGTCAATTCTAACATGAACAACTACAACTACAAGAACTACTGTAACAACCAACGACAACATTAACCAAAAATGAAATGAAAAAAAAATGAAAATTTTTAAATTGCATCAATCCGTGTGTGTGTATATGTTGCAGGTCCCCCTGTGGAGGTTGGCGTCACAATGTATGTCCTCAGTATCAGTTCGGTTTCGGAAGTTCTCATGGTACATACGTAAAAAAATATATACCACAATAAAAACAACAACAACCACAAATAATACAACATACAAAACAAAACAAAACAAAAAAAAACAAAAGAAATAAAAACAACCAACCAACGTTTTTCTTTGATTTTTTTTTACAAAATGCGAAAAACAAAAAGAATTCATAAAACTACTCGTATACTTCCTAATTTCTCTCAGTCTCTCTACCTGTTACCTATAACTATAACTATCTCTTGCTCTCTCTCTGTCTCTCGCTGTCTCTATCTCTCTTGTTTCTCCACCACTCTCGCTCTGTCTCTCTGTTGCTTTGAGCTCATTTTGTGTCTTATCCATATACTATACATATACTTTTAATTTAATTTGGCTAATTGGCAACAGACATACAAATTCATTGCAATTAATTTTGATTCACGTACATTATCGCCGTGCTCTTTCGTTACGTTCCGACAATTCCAATTCGAAGTAAATCTCTATACAGTATATGAAATACCATTTATACATACAAATGTATATACAAAGTTCTGCAAATTAAGTGTTGTGTGAAAGAATTAAATTGTTGGTTGCAATATGCATTGCCAAAATATTGCATATTCATTGTTTTGATTGTTTTGTGTTTATTGTTTCGATGTCAAGATGTACGAAATGTTTGTTTGATGTTCCATATTTCATTTGTGTTACACAACAACAACCAATTCAAAGCTTCTCAACCAACGACAAAAAGCCAACAGAAATACATATGTAAATCAAAATCAAAAACTGCAATTTTACACAATTCGATGAGGATATAATGTATATTCCAACTAATTGCATTTTATACGCTGATCTCTTCTTCATCTATTACTCTTTCTATCACAACTTTTGCTGCTTTGAAATTTTCATTGATTTTTCATCATTTTATTTTGTTGCCTTTTGCTTTCCTTTGTCTTCGCTGCATCCCCCCATCGATGACTGTTTTCACCATTTTCATGGGAATCAGACAGAGCCATGAAAATTGGCAGAAAATCAATCAATCTAATTGCTGTATAAATCTTTATTTATCGTCTCATCCAGCACATGGCTGAGGTTCATTCATCCAATCACAATCACAGCCACAATCCCACCAACATACACACAGACACAATATGTTGGGCTCCAGCGAGAAACGAGAGATATTTATGCCATATTCATATACATATATACATATATATATTTACATATATTTATATATTATATACATTTTGCTACCTAATTGTATTCGTTGTGATCTGATCAATTGCAAAATTAAGCCAAATTAATCACAGCAGTCCCACTGGCAGAGGCTGCGCGCATGCGTGTTTGTTAACAAAATGAATATGAATGAATATCATAATCCATGTATCAAATATACTCGTACTACTACTACTACTATAACATATAATCAAGCTCGGTGTCGATGTCGGTGTTAGTCAAAACGATATATGGCCATAGCATACATGTACAAGTGGACTCGTATGTGCCTGTTTATGTGTTTCCATTTCCGATACTCTTAATTTTATTATTTATTTTTTTCCGAGGGAACAGCTTTTAAAACATCCCACATTTCTCTTTATTTGGTTTATTGAAATTTATAAAATGTTTTATTTTACAAAAATCTAAAAATCTAACCATATGTCTAATTCTTCGCTTATTTTCTTATTATTTTAACTCGTTTTCTGGGAAAAGGTTAAACAAAAATTAATAAGAAAGCAAATTGGTTATCAATTGGAGTTTTCTTATTGAATAATAGGGATTTCCCAATTGTTTAAATTCATTCAATACAACAAACAATTTTTTTAAATAAAATTGGAAATTTTCTTTTTTGTCGCACGATTTTATTGGTTAAACGATTTAAATGTTTCTAAGCTTTTCAAAATCATTTCTATGAATATCTTAAGTAACTGAAACCACCCCTGGGACTTTTAGCTGTTCGAGTATATAGAATTTTCCACTGAGAGTAACCAACAACAATTGTTATCCAACTCATTTCTAATTGGACCGTTCAATCAATTATCTATCACATTACTCGTAATTTCACATCAATTCGGCCAGCCATGAGTGCGATAAATAGAGAGCATCAGCAGACCCATCGATGTAATACATCTCAATTGGCAGACACGAGAATTCCATTATATTATCAATATACCTACTATATTACGTTGAGAGCATTGCAAAGCACTTAAGAAGAGCTCCACACGCGGATACACACACACCCAAACACACCAACACCCAGCAGTACAATAGAATCTACCGCACCGTTGCATACAGCTAGGCGCAATGACACGTGCTGCAGAACAAACACATACTTACATACCATACACACATACCTACAGCAACCTGTCGTACGTTAATAAAACACAAATGAACCGACACCTGCACCTACCGTTTTGGCTTTGGCAATCAATTTATGCGAAAATAACATGCCCAACAGGAACTTAAACACGAACCGAAACACGAAACATACACATGTGTACTTATGTATGTACATCACGGCAAAGAAAACACATTAACAACAATAACAACAAACAGAAACAACATGTTCCTTCCTGATCATTTTCTCACATGACAATTTTTCATTTGCACATATTTGTGTATGTCTCTCATTCTCACTCACTCTCACTCACTCTCTCTCTGTGTGTCGTGGCAGTAAGAAAACAAAAAATGCTCTACGCTGCTAATGAAAATAATTCAAAAATAAACTGAGCCAATGCCAAACCGAAACAAGAACAACAACACAGATACACACACGCATACAGATACGCAGATACTCAGATACACTGACAACGCAGACAAATTTACATAAGGAAAACCCATCCAATCCAAACCAATCCAATCCAGCGAGGCAGTAAAAATCAACATGACACAGGCACAACAGTCAACAACGAACATGACTGTTGGCTACAGCCAACAGAAACACCGAACAAAAATACAATAAAGGAAGGCTGCAGGCTGCCAGCTGCTCTCAGGGACCGAAACTTTTGATACCCTTGCAGATCGCAATATTTCCGCACAAGGATACAAGTTTTCCCAGGCAACGACGGTTTATGAATAACTAATATTTATGAAGACTAAAATATGCTTTCCATTTCTGTGTTGCCAACATCTGAGCAAAATCATAATACCCTTCTGCAGGGGTACACAAAATACACCATAACCTACCCAACCTACATACGTACTCGTATATACATACAAAAATATATACATATGTAAATTGTAAATGGTATAAAAAATATATATAAAAGTAAAACAAACAACTCGATATAGACCCGCTCACGTTTTGGGGTTAATTGTGATGCCATTGTAGGCAGCACATTCCGATTCCGCTCTATATATATACCGTACCCGTACCCGTACTCGTACCCGTAACCCGTACAGAACATGCACATAAATATCCGTATTTAGAGTTGACTTTGTAAGTGTGTGTGCCGAAATAAAAGCAGGTTGACCCCCCGCCCCGCAACCGACCCATGAAAACAAAACCCAGGAGAACCCTTTGTGTTGAGGATGACAACGAACCCAATCGTGTAGAAACTTAAGGAAGTTGCATAATACACATTGAGTTTTATTTTCGTTTTTAATTTTGCTAAACTTTTAAGTATATATTTTATGTTCGGAATTTTTTGTTTTGTGCGTGCCTAACCCGAGTGGAAACCAAATCTGCTAGCTTAAACTTGAAAAAAAATAGATACATTTACGTAGAAGCCCTACCCCAAAAAAGATACAACAAAAACTGAGAAAAAGAAAAGAAGATTGCAGGCAACCCACGAGAACCGTGTGCAATTTTCGCATCATAAATAATATATACATATGTAGTCGTACTCAACCACAAATATACATATGTGTATGTACATATATGCCATTTAGACATACTCGTAAAAGCTCAGCGTGCGTTAAAGTACTGCCAAAAAGTACCCGGAAAAGCAAGCAGTGTGTGGGCTCTATAAATATTTATAACTACTTACAAATGTTATTACCTGCTACAAGCTACAACTACAACTATTGTTATTACATTTACATTTGCATTTACCTTTAACATTTACATTTACATGGTTTTCCGTTTAATTTTTTGGTTCCTTGTCGGCTTCTTGTATGCCCACGTCACAGACTAACAACGTGACGCGCTTCAAGATACCCGTACTCAAACCCGTACCTGTACTCGTAATGATATGCAAGACTGAGAGAAACAACTCGAGTAGTTGTCTTTACCCCTTATGACCTCCCCCCACTCACTCAGCACATCCACGTGCACCACACACACACACACACACACACACCAACACACACAGATACAAACAGAGTACACAAAAGCCAAGTTTGTTTGTCGTTTTACAATTCCCCCATCGAATCGAATCGAATCCAATCCAATTTAAAACTAAAAACCAAATCAAACCAAACCATTCCAATCCACACAAGGCAGGCCAAATGCTTTCGTGCCTAAAACCTAGAACGCTTCAGCTTCGAGGCACTGCAGCAGGACAAGCAGAATAAGCCAACGATACTCCTGTATAAAGCGAACCCATACTTACGCCTTTTTGCCATAGATGTAGTTCATATTCATAGCCTAGCCCCTCCTTTCAAAAGTAGCCAGAAAAGCCAAGCTACTTCACATCACAGCAACGAATCCATATGAATATTTGTGAGAGGTTTCCGTACTACTTATATGCTTAACCGTACCTCCTCCTTAATCCCTCCTCTATTGCTACTGTATATAAGCCGATAAAATATTCTTAAAATAATTTTCCTTTGATTTGATTTAATTCCTCTTTTGTTCTGAATACCCCCCTAAAGCGCTGTACAAAGTTTCAATTGTTTCAATGTTTTTGCATGCCGTCTAGAAATCAACCCCAACCGATAAGCCCATCCAGAGACCTATTTTCCCGTTGTATAAAATGAAAAAATTGTTGCACGCTATGAATTTTTCTTGATTTCCATTTGCCGCAAGTTACTTTTCTTTGTGTGTTTGTTAAGTGTATTCGTTGTTTGACCAAATTGTGACCAACAAAAAAAAAAAACTCCTTCCTTCTAGTTTTCTACCAATTCTTAAAGCTAATTTCTCTCTCTATCTCTCTCTGTCTGTCTTTCTATGAATTTTTTTTATTTGATTAAAATTAATTTTATTATAAAACACACAAAACTTTTACGTTTTTAGTCTTTTAGTGATTTAGAACTACTCGTACATACTCGTAAATAAATATAAGTTCTCACTGTCAATTTGTACTAATATGAAATTACTCTCAATCTCTTTTTGCTACCTTTCCCCCGTACATATATCGAAACCGAATTGAATCGAATTGTGAATTTAAATAGGACTTCACATTGGATTTTTACTTTCGTCAATTTTGGACCGATCCTCGTTTAGCGTATAGAAAACGACCTGGTGTAGAGACACTGTCGGTTGGATCAGAGTTCATTAAGAATATTTGGGTACCTGACACCTTTTTTGTAAATGAAAAACAATCATATTTTCACATTGCAACAACCAGTAATGAATTCATACGTGTGCATCATTCTGGATCGATAACAAGAAGTATTAGGTAAAAATCAATAACTCAACTACTGCAACTCCCCAAACTCTAAGCTCTAACTGAAAGCAAAACATTACCATTTTTAATTGTCTCTGTATATGTGTATGTGTATTTTAACTATTTTACAACCCATCCAAAAACCCAAACAAAACAAAAAACCGAAACTAAACCAAAACAAAATTTACAAATTTATGTTATACAGCAAATACTTCAAATCAAATTACTAACTACTCGTACTATCCCTACTCTAACTAATCGGTTCTGTTACAATTATCATTTATGTGTTTTTGCAACTAAACTAACCTTTTTTTCTGTGTGTGTATAAATCGATGTTGTAATTTACTAAATCAAAACCGAAAATGACAAATTTCTACAGAACGAAAAAGAGTTTTCCTCCAAGCGATTAAGCGATTAAGCGAATAACAATTAATCAAACAATTCAAGTGAGTTCAATTGGCAAGTGAAAGTGAAAGAAAGTTTGGCAAATTGCGAGCGATGCAGCTGAGAAAGATACATATATTTGAATGAAATGCGATGAGATGCGAGGATATTGCATTTGTACATTTCATGCGAGTCATCGGTTAGAGTCAATCTTTGGGAATATCTAAAATATATACTCTGGCTACAAGACTTCTGTGTTCATATTTGGTTTCGATAAAGAGATCTACATTATTGATGATTGGCGCAAAGTCACTTCAAATTTCTGTTTAATTTCCATAATTCATGTCACACTCTTGATGAACTTCTATCAGTCATTAAGTCATCCCCAATTGTGCGGCCCATGAAGTATACAAACGCATTCACCAAAACGCCGTCCTATTCCCCCAATCACTAAAACTTCAAGCAATCAAAAATCAAAAAGAAAAAGAAAAAGAAAAAGAAGAAACAATCGTCGAGCATATACCATATCTGGAGTAGCATGAAACAAAGGGTACCTGAAAAAGGGGGTGTATCTGACACCACAAAAAGGTTTGACTGGCCGCAGTAGCTAGTTGATAGCTAGCTAGGCTACTGGGCGCACTATTTTCTACTACCTTTAAACAAGAATCTGTCCAAAATCGCCACAAAACCTGAGCAGCCACAGCAACAGCCCATAGCCATAGCCCCCCCAAAGGCAATGACAATAAGTATGAGTAGAGTAATATTTTCCGTAGCCGTAAGCAACTACAACTAATACAACAACAATAATAACAACATCATTAACAAAAAAAAAAAACCCCAACTAAAGTAAGCCAAAAGCCAATTCATGATAATAATTACCCTGTGTAAGAGCCAATCAATCGCCTCACTATCTACAACCAAACTGCCACTGCCACTAAAAGTATCTCTCACTTACCAAACAGCAGCAGCAAATATATATCTAACAAATAGCTCATATCCAATTGAACTCGCTCTGTATGTAATGACTTGAACTTTACCCCCCAGAAAGAACCCCCCACCCTCTCTAAAATTCCTCCTGCCCCGTAAATGTTGTGTGTATATAAATAGAATGTAATTTCTTTGAACCCTCTGCTCGTTTGTTTGTTGATGTTCACCATTTAAACCGTTGAAAACCCTACTAATCGAGTACTCTCTCTCCTCAAAATGGAACCAAATGCCAAATTTTTTCTCTAGATTGACTATCACCGCATCGTGTCCGATGAACCTGCAATATTTCCCAATGGACCGGCAGCTGTGCCACATTGAAATAGAAAGCTGTAAGTACTTTGATCTAAATGACATTCCAATCTTACAATAGACAAGTAAAAAATATATAAAATTAAATAGCAATGAAGAATAATGCCAATTGAAATGGAAACTATGTAGAAGCTGAAATTTGAATATTTATTGTGAAAATTGTCAATTCAATGAATTCAATGAATCATGTGAAAAAAGATACATATAAACAAGAACTCATTCAGAATGTGAAGCCAAATCAGCGAGGTGTAGGGGACCAGAGCGAGGTGTGGTTGGTCCCAGTGTTGCTTAACTCTCGCACGAATTGCCAGTGTTGTCAAGTGCACCATTTAACCACCATCCCTCCTCCAACCGCACTGAGCTCTGGCCACTACTCGCAAAATCTCAAGCTCTCAAGCAAAGGCCGTGCGCTGTTTGTTCAGTGTGGGCAGAAAATTTAAATCAAGCATAAGTATGTATGTGAAAGACTATATCTAACCGAAACAATTAAAATGCAAGCAAGTAAATTTTAAGTGCCTCAACACCCACGCCACACCCACACACACACACACACACACACACAAATCTCCACTGGAAATAGGAAAAAGCAATTAAGCTGCCTTTGATGACAATTGGAGGCACTGCAAATATTTTGTCTCAGGAAATCGAACTGAATACAATTTACTAGTAATTAATTGTCTTTAGGCAGAGCTTAGGTGAAATTAAGTTTCTTTTTGTTGCTTTTCGGTTCAGTCAGGTGAGGTTTTAGCTCTCGACAATTTTGTTTTTACTTTCGAATATCCATTTTCAGTTCGTTGTGCATATTTTGTTCAAACGTTCAACCAAAATTATCCCCCACGCCCACCCAACCGCAACACATTTAGTTTTGCTCATCCAAAAATATTTAAACAGATCAAGTCCCACCTCAGACATTTATAGTTATTCTTATGTTTGTTTCTTGAACCCAACCCCAAAAAAACAAAATCAATATGTTGCACAATCGCCATGTGAGATGTGTACCCAGTTTCATCTGCATCTACCCGAATGATTTAATCCAACAGCAATCTATCAATCAATCAATCAGTATCTATAATGCATCATGATCATAGCTTCATAGAACCAGTTTCATGGCCCAGAAGATTGGTTGGTTTTCGGTCGCCTTCTCTCACTTACAGCAACCGCAGAAGGCTCCCCGCGCAAATCGATGATCGATGATCTGATGACTCCAAATGTGCCTAGTCTTAAGGCTATCTCTCTGATACTCCCTCTCTCTATTTTTGACTTTATCCTCCCTCATGCCCCAGTTAATTTAGCCTAAGATATAGAATACTATCGTAGCTATAAGTCAAATACCCATACACAGCACGCTTTTGCTTAAGATCTACATGTGTATTATATACAATATATGCGCCATATCATAAATACTCGTATGTATGTCTAAAATTTCTTTGTTAAAACTCGCCCCCGTAAATCGGGCATAAAGAAGTCACACTCAAGCACACAGACTAACAGATATCCTTAGCCTTAAGAATGTATGTATGCGTTGAACCATATAACATTGAGTGTCTTGTGTATAAGTCCCCAACCATCCCCCCTCCAGCTAACCAACAAGAAACAAGAAACAAATCCAACACCAAAAACCCAACAAAACAGTACAAATACAAATACAAACAGTAACAACAATTAATTAACTACTGCCCCCCATTTTTGCAACAACAACAACTACTCCTACTACTACTACTACAACAACAACAACTACAATATCAACAATCTTCAACCTTGAACATGAAGTCGGTTACACGATGCGAGATATCCGATATTTCTGGAGAGATGGACTGAGTAGTGTTGGCATGAGCAGTGAGGTCGAACTTCCGCAGTTCCGTGTCTTGGGACACAGGCAGAGGGCGACCGAAATAAACCTAACCACAGGTACCCCCATACATTACAAAAATCATATAAACACAAACGTACAAATTTCCAAAAAAAAAAAAAAGTATATATTTATAAAAAAAAAAAAAAAATAATCACATTAACATTTCCTTTGTTTTTGACAAGCATTTTTCAATGAACTTTTGTAACCGTTTTGCGTTTTCGTAATGGATTTCCGTATTCGTATTCGTATTTTGAGTTTGTGTTTTTCGAAAAAGGGTTGTTAGCGCATATCCGTCTACCAAAACACGCACCTCCTCTTAACCAATCAACCAACCAACCGATTTTTTGTGTTTACTCTACCTTCCTCTACTTCTACTTCTACTTGTTCTTCTTTCACCAATATACAATATATATTTATCAGTATAACTTTATCGAGTGCTAACTGTAACGTGTGCTACTAACCAAAAGAATCCCGAACCTAACCCCAACTAAAACCCATCTAAATACTTACTCCCATATACATATATATACCTAAATATATATATTGTGTTTGACGTGTCCTCTACTAACCTTTGTTGTGATTTATGCTTTCGTTTTGCCTTCTATTCTGTTCTGTTCTGTTCCAACCAATTAACAGATCAGTCCTGAAGCAGTTAGAGACGTAGTGAGGCGTTAGTTAGGCCAAAACGAATTTTTGATTTTCTGTTGTTCCTGTTTCAGTTTCAGTTATTTTCGAGTCGCAAGAGAGTCGAGTTTCATTTGCTTGGGTAGGCAAAAACCAGCTACAACGCTAATAAAAAATCTAAGAAACTAATTAAGAAATGCGAAAACAATGTAAAATGCCTTTAACTAAACAGAAGACACAAGAGCACCCATTTCTGCCACCAAAATAAACAACAATAACAACTATATATAGATATTTGTCTAAGTACCATAGCTTTAAGTAATCCAATCCAATCATAATTACTACTGCCAATAAGAACAAACAGTAGCTGTAAGTCAATCCAGAGAGTGTGCATACTAAATGCTCATCTAACTTTTATTCTAGTAACGCTTTGCCAATAAAATCGAAACCGATGCAAAACTAATGCCTTTTTTAGTCCTAGTGCAATTGTAATATATGAACAATTTATATTATTCTTAGAACTTCTTCTCGAGATAAATCAAAAAATATATTTTTGAACAACACTTCAAGCAACAAGTTCTGAATGAGACTATTAATTAAAAAAAAAAAAGAAAAACCTCAACAAAACAAATTGAAAAACAAAAAAAAATACCAAATGTTCAACCAAAATGAGAAGAAAAACTGAAAACTGAAAGCTGATGAAAAACCAGCTAAAAATATTATTGAATTTTTTTGTTAGAAAATTTTATATGATCGAATAGAATCTATTAATAGTCTCACGAAATGTATTTTTTGTTTTGCGCATATTTTTCGTCAACAACAACAACAACAACGACAACCTCACCACTGAACTGTGCCTCAACAACAACAACAATAACAACTGTAAAATAAACTCGCCCAAACAAAACCAAATATACCCTACAAAAAATAAAACACACCAAAACTGTACAAAAATACAACTTTCCAACACTAAAACAACCAACAACAAACAACGAAACAACAACCACCTTACTATATACACAATATATAGTCGGCTACACGATGCGTGACATACGATATAAATGGAACGAGGGCCCCAACTCGGTCGGTGTCTCGAGTGAGGTATCGCTGCCCCAATTTAAGGTCTTGGGCCATCGTCAAAGAGCCATGGAAATCAGTCTTACCACAGGTACCTGTAGACGGTTACCGATTTATTTTTCAAAACTTTACTTTTACCTACATATACATGCATATATATATTTATATATATTTACGATAATACCGATGATGATACAAATATATAAATATATATACTATACAATATATAAATATATCTCGTTTTGATTTTGCGTTTTCGATTCAATTCAATACTCTTCAGGCTCTTCAGTTCGATTTGTTGGCTTAACTCGTTTTGGTTTTTCCTTTCTCGATTCAAACTAATTTCGAAGCAGCATTTTGTATAAAGTACTCCAAAATTCAATCATTCAAATCAATCCAAAACAGGGCTTGCCGCAAAACTTGGGCTATAACGAAAGGATGGAACCCAAATCCTGGTTCAAGCACCACCCCCGTCGCTTTTTTTAAGACAAGGACAGAGTGTGCTTCAGCCAGGATGAGAGAGAGTCCTAGGAGAAAAGAAAATGCATGTTAAGCATCTTAAGATTTTTACATAATTTCCATTTCCATATAGCTAGCGTTTGTTTCATCAACTAATCTATTTCATAGCATACTCGTACTCGTACAAATAAAGTTAACAAATAATAAGTATTAACAACAACAACAACAACAATATTAACAAGTGCATTTAACATTAGCCCACTTCATAGTCTAGACTCTCGACAGCCTGATCTGATGATAGACTGAGAGGCGTCTTGGCGTCTCAGAGCTTTTCTCACTCGTACTCGTACCACTCGTATCCACAGGATTACATACTCGTACTTTTTAAAGTTTAAACGCAAAATCAACGCATGTTACAAGCTAGCAACAATTTTTCCGATTCAGTTCGTTCATCAAATTGATTTTTCTTTACTGCTTACTTTTTTTTAATAACTCTAAGTTATATTCGCTTTGATTTCAACGCTCATTAGTTCATACTTTACAGTGAACCACGATTAGAAACCACAGCAATCAAAAGAGCAATCGAAAATTGGCACTGCCAAAAAGAAATTTACCTAAAATTAAACCGAATCAAAACAGAATTCAAAATGAAAATGAACGTACGATTAATCTGCGCCCTAGTCACCTTTGTACCATAAAAACCGAATAAGCAAAGAGTAAAAATACCTACAAATATTTTAAAGTAACAAAAAAAGTATTCGATATACTTAGCAAAGCTTAACTGAATATGGCTTTTCCTTAGTAAATCGTGCTTTTGATTTATGCCTGACATTAAAAATTTTTTAAGCTGCCACAAACACACTCTCATGCTCTCACACCAACACACCTATCCACACACACACACATTAATTTTATTAACTAGTCACGGAATTAGTATTTACTACAAATAAAAAAAAAATATTAAAATAAAACTACAACAGATATCTTAACAGTAATTTAAAACGCTATCGAAACTCATTAGCTTAACCGAACAACAATTACAAACTACAACAATCGACACCAACAACATTCTGTATTGTAAATCAACAACAACAAAAAGCATTAATATGACAATCCAAAATCAAAAAGCAATTACTATGCTACATGAATTTAAAATTTTACGCCAAACGCATTCAAGCGATAGATATACAAAATTAGCGAACAATCGCAACCAGAAAAATATATAAAGTTCAAAAAGCATATCTCAAATATCTAAAAAAAAAAGTATATATATATATCGAAAATACAAAAACGCCCTCCCAAGCATGCTCTCATCTTATAAAGTTTCTTTTACCAAATCTTAAAAAAATAATAAATATAATAATCTATAGATAACAGCAACAAGTTGCAGGCAATTCGAGTGCGAAATGCTCCTAAATTAGGTCTTAGACTAGATCTTGATGCCTCCTACTCATTACTCTTCTTTTGGTTTAATTTATTCTTTTAAATACAGGATTTGCAGTCTGTTTTTTGTTCGTCTAATGCAAGTCACTAAACATTAAACTCTCTTTTATTAACGAAGATTTGAAGCAACTTCGGCCTAGTCGAAGTTTCGATATCCTTGCAGAACTTAAAAGAACCATTTTCCTTTCATTTATACGTCTTGGGATTCTATAAAGCAATTTTCTTAACACTAGATATATTTTATATCTCTCTTTATATACGACTTTTTTCTTATAAATAATCTGCAAGGATAAGACTACCTTTTGAATGCCTAGAATATATTTTCAAGTTTAGTTCTTGACCTTAGCTTTGACTTGACAATTTTTGCCATTTCGTTTATATCCCATAATTAAGTATATACATACATATATATCTGATCTGTATATTGAAGTATTGCCTGCCTGATAAATGAAGCGAAGTATTGCCTAGATCGAAATCTAACCGTATTTCCAGGAAGGATTGCCAGCCAATCATTATTTCTCATGAAAATGCGCTCATACTTAATTCTCCTCATTTGACTTTCGTCTCGGTTCGAGTTTTCCTTTCATTTGAAGTTTGAAATATAATTTTGTACTATTTTATTTTCCTTAGTGAATAATACTTACTAACATTGTTTTGTTCGTTGATATTTGCAAACGAAATGGATCTCAATGAAATACATACTAATAATATCTTTTATATCTTTCTCGATCTCTCTTTCTGTCTCTCCCTATTTCCGAAAAAAAAAAAAAAAAAAACTGAAAACGCTGAAAACAAAAACTAAAAAAAAAACTAACAAAAATTAACTTATCAAAATAATGCAAATCGAATGAATATGAATATGGTTTATAATGCGATTAATAATTGAATAATTAAACAATTGAAACATTGAATCATTGGCGCGGGCAGGAAACTATTCGCGTTTAGCCTGCGAAATTCAGTTCGTGCGCTCGATGGGCTACTACCTTATACAAATCTACATACCCTCTGGACTGATCGTTATTATATCATGGGTATCATTTTGGCTCAATCGCAATGCAACGCCGGCGCGTGTGGCGCTCGGTGTGACAACCGTGTTGACAATGACCACTTTGATGTCGTCAACAAATGCAGCGCTGCCAAAGATTTCGTACGTCAAATCGATTGACGTCTATCTGGGAACATGCTTCGTTATGGTCTTTGCCAGTCTACTGGGTAATCAAATAGCAACTACCAACAATCCAAAACCAAACCAAACCAAACCAAAAACTAACTCCAAAAACCCATTCAGTAAAACAACCAACTAGAAAAACTATTTCCCCATAACTCTCTATATCTCTCTCACCCACACAGCCACACCACACACAGAGAGATACATATACATGCATGTATTTATGTATATGTATATGTATGTACGTATGTACTCTCTGTGGTTTTTCCTTTTGATTATTTCACATTTCCGTTTCCGTATGATTTTAAATACGGGCCGACGACATACACTAGCAAGTATGTCATGACGCCCGCTTTGAGTTTTCTTTTAATCACACTTTTGCCAGCTTTCCTTGCCACGCTTAGCGTTGTGCAGCCAAGATACAAAAATACAACATACAGATACATCCAACACACACGAATTTCCTCTGCAAAACGAGCTGCGTCTTAAGAAATTTCCTTTAAAAATACATACATACATACATGTCTATCCATCCATTGGTCGTACAAATACGCAGCGTGGTTTTGCCTCTCCACAGTAGTTTATTTTCTAACTTTTACATTTTAAAGATACATAATATTTCACATTACTATGGAGCTAACAGACTGACGAGAAAGTCTATCCATAAAGATGCTGAAATGCACTGCACTGAAAGGCACTGTAATGGGTCTGGCACCAGTCAAAAGTTTGATATAATTATACATTCGAAACGATACTGCCATCCAAATTGTGTGATATTCCAAGTAAATATCTCAAGCTTCGGTGCTGACCCCATCCAAAAAAAAAAAAAAAAAAAGCTAACTTTAACTTTTTCTCTAACTATCTAACAACTTAAAAAACAATTCTCAAGCAACAACTTACACCCACAACTACAACAACAACTACTCCAACAAACAGCAACAACAACAGCAAGAAAGAAAGATAGAAAGAATGAAAAAAAATAAGCAGAAATGAAAAGAAAAGCAAAGAACAAATCTCTTTTTTCGTATTTGTATGTTATTGTTAATTTTCTCTTTACAAAGAAAAACTATCATCTAAAGAAAATGTATGCAAATTCATAGATACGCGCCTCAGTACCAAGAATAAAGGCACGAAAATTTCCCACCGTCCCCATACCCATACCCCTACCCTCAGCCTCCCCTCAGCCTCTCCCCACACACCACAACAAAGAGACAAGAAAAGAATAGAAATATCCAAAAATGTTTTGCACATTGCACATAGAATCGAAGCATGCTTCAGCTCAAAAACCTTAAAGTTTAATCCAAATCAAAACCAAAAAATCAAACCCGATTCATTCAGCCATATTAGCCTCTCAATCAATATATACTATATATATGCAACATATATGTATGTATATATAGCATACCGCCGACTCAGGTTGAGTTGTGGTGTTCAAAAATCTCGCACACTTGAGCGAACACACTCCCAACCTGAAATGGTACCCAGATATCAATATACGCCCAGCTTCCGCCATAACGCAAATGCCAAAATGCAAAACTGCTAAATCGCAAACCGAAAAAAAAAAATGTACAAAACATAAAAACAACGCACCAACCAAAAACCATCTAGAGCCCAGCTCGGGTACGATTGCTCGATTACATATACTCGTATAAATCACCTAAAATTACCATCAATAAAATTTAACCATAATATGAAGGGAGCGCATCAAAAAACGTAACGAAAACGAAACGAAAAGAAACGAAAACCAGCATGCCCTGCGCCACACCTGGCTTGACTCGCGATTGAATTGAATCAAAAGCAATATACGCAAAAAGAAAATACAGACACAGTACACTGTAAATATGGTTCAACAAGTCGTCGATCAACAGCCAGAAGACGCAGCCCTGGAATACCTCAGACATCAACGAACCCGACCAAAAATATATAACGAAAAGAAAAGCCATCTCGCCAGCCACGCAAAAACCTCAAAATTTCCGAATGATATCTGCGATTTGGAGCCCTCAAGTTTGGGTCACTTAAATGGGTGACCCAGACATGATGGCTGCCAGATCCGAACAGATTTGGTAATGCCAATTTTTGGGGTTAGGTAAGATATGATTTTGTAGTCTGCTTTCTGTTTTGTTTTATTGCCTTTTGCAGCAATTGGTTGCCGCGACTCGCTGGGGTAAGTAAATTCGTTACTAGTTATTCGTTACTCGTTACTTCCTGCCCATCCATATGCATTTACGAAACTTTACGTACATAGGTGCGTATGCGCAATATGTATGTATGTATTGATCTATCCACATTCATCAACGAGTATGCGATTCTTTTGGACTTAATCTCGGCATTGTAATCCTCCCAATCCCCACCCACGTATTTAAATACTCCAAACCAATCCCCCACAAAACCCGCTCAATCAATTCGATATTGCAATACGAATTTGAATCTGAATCAGTAACAGAAACAGAAACAGCGCATGCAGAAAGCAAAACATTTTCAAGGATAACAGCAGGAACAACAACAACAACAACAAGAACAACATCGGAAGTGACAGCAATTACGAAAGCAAAAAACGAAATGCTGGAAATTTTTGTGTCCTTTATAACGGGCGACTCTGTTCAATGAATTTGCATTTGAGGCACGCACATGAACATTTTCCTTGAATGATGGTCTCAACTGCAGAAATAAATGTGTACATAAATCGTTTGGCTTACAAATGACTTTTTCCACTCATTTCACAACAACAACTACAGCAAACAACACTCTCACTCACTCACTCACTCGCCCACTCACTCTCTCACTCACCCGCCCACTCGCTCACTCACTCACTCACTCACTCACTCACTCGCTCACAGACACACACTCGCAGACACACAAACACACACAGACACACACAAACACTTCAATTGCTCTGTCTATATCTCCTTCTCTCTCTCTATAGAAATTTATAGCTAACTCTCTCACACACCCACTCACACACACACACACCACACAAGACTTGCTTTATTCGAATTTTCCTTTGCCTGGCTAAAAAGAGAAAATACTCGTACCCCAAAGAAAATTTACTTCAATTTTTGATTTCACTTAACAACAAACAAGAAATGAACACTGAACAACAAAGTCTATATTCGTTCGAAATGGCTCTAAGTTTTACTTAGCTAAAGATTCCTTCTACTACTACTACTACTACTACTACTGCTACTATAACCCCGGCCTATATCCCATCCGAAAAGTCTTATCTATCTCTCGCCACTCACCGTTTTAGACGTTGTGCAAATACTGAACTGAAATTGAATGCCAAATTCTTAATTAAATTGAAATTTCTTTTGTTTTTCTATTTGTCTTTCCTTTAATCCATCCGATAAATATGCCAAAAAAAAAACAAACTCTGTACTACCCCGCACCAAATTATCAATATATATATATACAATATATACTCGTACTTCTGCTACAACTACAACCAACAACCAACCAACCAATCAACAAAATATCATCCGAAACATCATATGGAAACTCAAACTCGAACTCGACTTGCCTCAAAATTCTTCAACTGCATCCGCATCAATATCAAAATCAATATCAATATCAAAATCAATATCAAAATCAATATCAAAATCTCCTCCCACCCACCTGTACGCCAACCGTTCATCTAAAAACTATCGACTATTCAAATTCCAAATTCGATTACAATTACAATCAACCAAAATCAAACAAAATCAAATCGTTATCGTTATCGTATATCGCAATCAATAGAATACGCCACCGTCGGCTACATGGCAAAACGAATTCAAATGCGAAAACAAAGATTTATGGCGATCCAAAAGATAGCCGAGCAGAAAAAGCAACAGCTCGACGGGGCCCAGCAGCAGGCCAATCCAAATCCGAACGCATCCATGGGGATGGGTGGAGGAGGCGGTGGTGGCGTTAACGCCGGTGGAGGCGGCGTCGGTGGTGGCGTCGGTGTCGGCGTTGGCGTTAACGTCGGCATGGGCATGGGTCCTGAGCATGGGCATGGGCATGGTCACCATGCCCACAGCCATGGTCATCCGCATGCGCCCAAACAAACAGTGAGTAACCGCCCAATCGGCTTTTCCAATATCCAACAAAACGTTGGTACGCGCGGTTGCTCGATAGTGGGACCCTTGTTCCAGGAGGTGAGATTCAAGGTCCATGACCCGAAGGCCCACTCCAAGGGCGGGACCCTGGAGAATACGGTGAACGGTGGTCGAGGTGGCCCCCAATCCCACGGACCCGGACCAGCGCCCGGAGGTGGACCTGGCGGCGGCGGTGGTGGTGGTGGCGGTGGAGGTGGCGGACCGCCAGATGGCGGTGGCGATCCCGAAGCAGCGGTCCCAGCCCACTTATTGCATCCCGGCAAAGTAAAAAAGGTAAAGGTAAAGATCGTACATGATGCGGCGATACACAACTAAGTTACTCTGCACCCAAGCATATATTAATCGATTTAACTTTTCTCCCGACTGCTCCACCACTCCTTGCATTCCTTCCACTTCCGCTTCCACTCCTTCCCACCCACCCACAGGACATCAACAAACTGCTGGGCATCACGCCCTCGGATATTGACAAGTACTCGCGCATTGTGTTTCCGGTGTGCTTCGTCTGCTTCAACCTGATGTACTGGATCATCTACCTGCATGTGAGCGACGTGGTCGCCGATGATCTGGTGCTGCTCGGCGAGGAGTAAAGAGTGCAGCGTCGTCGTCGAACTATTCGCGTCGAGGATGGTGGTCCAGGATCGCCATCAAATCGCCAGGAACAGGAGTGAACAGCGCACGAGAGAGTCAAACTGTGCAAGGCGCTGAAAAACCACACAAAAAAAGAAGGAAAACCAAAAAAAAAAAAAAAACAAATGCAGAAACAAAACAAAAAACCAAAAAATAAAGAAGCGGAAACAAAACTAATTTTAACTAGCGATACGAGTATGAGGAGGCGACAGAAGACAACAAGTTATTGTTTAATACTAATGGAAAAAAAAGGACACACACACACATATTACAAGGTCGAAAGCAAAGAATATTGTTAAATAGATTTACACACAAAAAGAGAAAACATAAGGAAAACATTAGCATTAACATGGAAAAAATGAATATAAATGAATGAAGAATAATCAAAAGCAACAGATTAGCAAATTGTAGTGAAAATTATATAACGAAAGGTATAAGCGAATATGTTGAAAAGGATTTAAAACAAAAACAAAACAAAACAAAACAAAAACCATTAAAGCCACAAAATATAACGATCAAAAATCATACGCAATATAGCATTAAAGAGAAGTGAAAAGGGAAAGTGAAATCGAATGGGAATGAGAATGAGAATGAGTATGAGAATACTTAGGCATAAAAACTACAAATAGCGCAGTCGAAAAAGTTGATTTCAAAGACCACAAAGTTAAACAACACACAGTACTATATAGTAGAAGAATTAACCAAAACGAATGTTATAGACCGTACTACCATAGGATGAATTGATTTCCATTATCTTTGCGGAGTTTTGTGCTTAAGTTTAAGTACCGAAACACCTTTTGCTTCCCACTTCAAAAGCAAAACACCCAGAGAGTCTTCCTCTAATTTAAGTGCGTTTTACCCCCTACCCCCTACCCACCCCAGCCCACACACCATCTTCAGAAGCACGCTCTCCGAATCGAACCAAAACTAAAACTAAAATCCAACCAAAATTTAGTATATCGATGTTAGTTTGATTGCCCATTCAGTTGGTTTGATTGATTTGTTTATTCAGAACTGACTTAGCGCTTCCAAGTGAAATGGCCAAATTTATTAGAAATCAAAACGTAAGGCGATGAACAAATTTCGACAATTGAGAATCAATTTAGCAAATCTTTTTGATTAAGTTAACTTTAAATATAACACATAACTCACACACACACAAACACAGAGACAGACACACACACAACACAGATAAGAATCATTCGACCAGAGTCGAATGTGGGGTCAGAGAGTTTTAATCATTTGCACACCAGAATAATAATAAATGGAAAACCAAGAAGAAATACTACGAATTACTTTGGAGCGCACCTTTTATAAAGAAGCAAGCAAGCAGCAAGCCAGCATCGTGGATAAGTCATACAAATAGTTAGTGCAATTTAAATAGCTAAATAATAATAATAGGAACGATAATGTTTCATTTTAGTTACACCAAACAAGTTTTTGATAACAACTTTAAACTAACGAACAAACAAATTATTCAAATTGCACTCACTCAAACAACTCCACTCACTCGAACTCACTCACTCACTCACCAAAATATACTCGTATGATGGATGCTCCACACACACAAGAATCAAGAAGTCAACAACTTTTCGAAGACAACTTTTGCGGCACCATTAACAAATCAATCTAAGGTCTAAGTGAAAAACCCAATAAGAAAATACAAGTAAATTTATAGGAAATACAAAATACAGAATATAACATAGAGCATAGAAATATGTACACACAAGTAATGAATGAATGAAACTGCCTAAGAACATAGTATATAAGTCTAACAAATAGTTGCTAAACAACGGGAGAAAGGGGGAGGAGAGACACCCGTAAATTGATTTCCAATTTGTATATAAATACTCGTACTCGTACGAAGGAGGTTACATACTCATCAAACGGCAAAGTAGGAGCAAAACTTCGCAATTGAATTAAAACTTAGTTAATGTAATTAAATCTAGTTAAGCGATTAACTCGGATACGTTCAAGCAGTCAATAAAGCGATTAACATACAAATGATACTTACGATGCACCCGTCTTAAGTTAGCCTAATGAACAAAATACACACAGATACACACAGACAAAAAACACACACACACACATACATATACTATATATATATATATAAATGCATATATATATATATGAATTTTCGCTCAAGTTCCTCGATGAATCACAGAAACATAAGAACAACAAACCAAAAGCAAAGGTTAAGTTAATTAACACATAAATTAAAGGCAAGTGAGTTTAACTTTAAATAAAACAAAATGATAAAGAAGAATATACAAGAAATTAAAATTAACTTTAGCACAAGTGGAGGAGAGATATATAATTAGGTGTAAGAGAAAACCATACCAAAATATCATCAATGAATTTTAATTTAGTGTTTATGATTAGTGAAAGATGGCGAACAGGTCGCAAGGCTAAAGAATTTTGTACAGTTTAGCTAAAGTAAATGCTAGGTATTAGGTATACACCATAATATGGTCAAGGTATGATAGTAACACTCCAACACACAGACAAAAACACACACACACACAAACACACTACCAGATACACACAGACACAGATCTATGTATATGTATATAGAGTATGGCATAAGTATACACAATTATATGATATATATATATATATCGTATTTAGGCACCTACATATATGTAGCACGAGTTTTTTATATGTAAACCCCCTAATCCAAATGAAACCAATTAACTGTATATACGAAAAAAGTACTTATGAATGGAACCCAGCTATGGAACCCTAGAAATTAACACAGCAGGAGGATGAGGAAGAAGAGGATGAAGATGGAGATGACCCTTGTCCCCCCCAACTTGAGGAATACCTAACCGAGAATTCAGCCAGACAACAGACAGAAGTACCGAAGAGAACCCAAGGAAAAATTACTTTATTAAAGATCTAGACAGACACAGACACAGAAACACACACACACACACACACACGTAATACACACGTTTATTCGAGACAGAGAAAGAGTCGAGAAATCGACTATTCGATACCCTTCAGCCATAACTGAGAAATCTTCAGAGATTGCTTTTTGTCTGTCTGTTTCAAAACAAGGATGGATAATCTCACAGTTTATATTTTATACATTCCGAAAGCAGATCTAGAGACCTATGGCTTATGGGTATCCGTATCCCCCGAAAATCCCTAACCTAACTAGGAAATTGAGCAAAATAAAAGCAATATAATGTTTGAGGCAATTAACTTATTAACTGATTAATGTTTTTGTTTAATGATAAAAGGATTTGAAGCAGAACTGCAATTGATCTACCATTCCCAAAGAAAATAATTACAGCCCCGACACTTGGCATCATTAAATCGGTGATAAAAGAACATGAAAGTAACAGATAGATATATCCATATAGAGAGAACACACTCATATATATATATATATATATATATATATATATATATATATACACCTATATATATTTTGTAGCTATACAAGTGTCAGAAATCAATTATGTTACCGAAGGACAGAAATCAAAATGTTTATAAAAGCGAGAGAGGCAGGCATATTGTGAAGAAAAATAAATGATATACACACACCTACTAATAATGCATGCGAGTATCAGTTCGAGTATCCCCTATATAAAAGTCGAATCAATTTTTGATGCAAATGCAAATGCAAATCGAGAACAACAACAACAAATAGCTGCTCAACGGTTTCGGAGCGTATTTCCAAAGAACGTAAATTAATGAGAAAAACAAAACCAAAAATGAAAAACCATTTTAGTTGTAACAAATGCAAAGGCAAAATAGTTGAGAAACATTTTAAGGGACAACTAACTTAATGGCAAATTGATGCGTTTAATTTTTCATATGGAATTTTTTACTCTACACTTAGTTTACGATATAATTTGTGGGAAAACCAGAGGGGTGAAAACCAATTTAGTTGGCCATAGTGAGAACTTTTTTATGGAAACAAATTAAATGATGAATGACGGTAACAGGTGACAGATGCCTACATATGTATGATCGAAATCGTGTGTGCAAAAAGCATTTAGGACAAAAAAGGCAGAGACAACAAAGCGATGAAAATATGTAAAATGTTAAATTATACACACAATGAAAATGTTTAAAGCATTTTTGGTGTTGCTGTTTAGACGGCGACACCAACACCAACGTTTTATAAAGCAACCAGAAAATATATATATAGATATATATATATATATGAGAAAGGGATATATATGTACGTGACATGATGTAATAATTGCGTATGTATGATGTATATTTAATTATATATTATATATGTATATGGTGGTCTCAAAAACAAACAAACAAACGTAAAAACAAATCGAGAAATTCTAAAGTATCTAGATAAGCAAATGAACAAGTTGAGAACCTTAGTGCTTAAGTTGAACCACACACAACACACACAGATACAGATACATACAAGATACAGAGTTACAGCTATGGAAACTGAAAACAGAGACACGAAACAGATACAGATACAGTATAGCTAACAGAATCCTGCATTCCTGCATAGTGCACCAGAAACTAAAACAAAATGGCATTTTTAAAATGAATTCCGAGTTAATGCAAGTGAATATTATAGCCCCCCAGGAGTTACCGATTGAGATCGAGCCATGAATTGTTAGCCAACACTAGTGCAATGAAAACACTTTACCAACACTGACACTCAGAAAAACCACACACACATACACTTATGGTTGTACGTTGCATAATTTATGATTTGTTGCATCATTATTATAAAGAATTAAGTCTTAGAATCCCTAATAAAAAAAAATCACACTCTGTTGACAGGCTCCACCTTTTGCTCAAGCAAAGTAAAACATGCGATCAAATTTGTTATTACATTTTAAGACTAGATACCCCCGCCCCCTTGCACCCACAACCACACCCCTCCTCTATCTTCCAGCACCACGCAGGCACTGGCTACTAAACAATATCTAAATATGTGTATATGATTTGTCTGTCAATCAACCAGCGCTAAAGTCTCATCGTTACCATCGTCATTCAGTCAGAAGGTCGGTCTTCAAGGAGTTCAACGAAATGTATCTATATAATTTTTGGTTTTATCCGTCCATCAAAAAGAGTTCCTAAATGCAATAAATGAACATTTTTTATGATTACCAATTCAGCCAGCCTGCAAAAATCTTCCAATATCCTCCCATCCTTTCTACCCCACAAGTCTGCTCTGCTATCAATTATTGGTTATTACTATTAACCTCACCACCATCACCATCAGACCCTTAACATTTCGGTTGCTCAACCATCAGATCCTTTACAATACACACCCCCTACACCCACATAGGTACCATATAAGCAGGAATATGTTTGAGAAGGATGTTGAGAAGGAGAAATAATTTAAAACGTAATGCGTAAATGCGTATATGTAATGATTGATCACTGATCACAAATTTTGACTGTGTTAATTTCGTTATATAAAATGAATAAAACAAAATTAAAAATACAAAAAAAAAAAATAAGAATGCAAAAACTGAAATG